GTTAGTTTTTTTAATTTCTGGTGTTTTATCTTTTTATTATTGTTTCTAAATTACAAGTATAACTGTAGCTTAATTTAATTATGTTGGGAAATCAATACATACCGCCTGACGATACCGAAAGGTTTAAACCAAGGTAGCTGAATCGACTGATCTCCTAATTTTTTAAATATATATATATATATATATATATGTATGTATATATATATGTCCGGTTGGGTGGGGAACTCAAACAGAAAAAGAGAGCTAGTTTTGAATTGTCTGTTCACAGAGGCATATCAAGAAATAAATTTGAAAACTTCAAGACGCATATTTGAAATCAAAGATACGCATAGTTTTTGATAATTGTATTGATAAAGATCTTCGGTTAGTCTCTGCAAACAAACGCAATTACAAAATGACATGAATGTGGCCGATACATGCCAATGAGTTAATGTTTTCTTTACTGTAATTATGAACTAATTGTCAATTTTCACTGATGCATTTGTTTTCCTGGTTATTTCACAGTATTTAAACACCAATTATTGTTATTTCACTGTCATTGGTGCAACAACCATTATATTATTCCTTTCCATATTATGACTCAGTAAAGCTATTATAACTATATTAACAATTTCTATCAAAATTTCTAAGACTTAGCGTAGTCTGACACAAGGCTTAAAATGTGGAAAAACTGGAGGATTCACTTCTAGGACGAGTTAACCATTGCTCTAAGGTAGTGCATCTTATTTTTTTTCTCTGGGTCGTATTTTCGAAATGAAAATTCTCTGGCGGCTCACTAACTTTTATATGATAAAAAGCACATTAAAAAAAGAAAAACACAGAAGATTAAAGGGAGATAATCGCGGATCATAGTTACGAAATTCGTAATACTTGATATAATGCAAAAAATATCACAATAATAAAACCGGTTAATAATTATTTCTAACTATTTATACTGTGACTCATGCATACAAATAAAAGTCATCCAATAATATATTTTAAATTTTGAAACCATATTTATTTTTTCTATATGAATGTTTTGAAACTGTTTTTCAATCTCTGATTGTCTTTCAACTATTCCGCCTCACCTGCTATCCTCTTCCGCCTCACCGGCTATCCTCGTCCGCCTCACCGGTTATCCTTTTCCGCTGTACCGTTTGGGAACAACTGCCTATCATACAGGTATATATTAGCTTTGCTTAATCTAGAAGAGACTCTATATAAAATGTTTTTAAAAATATTTCAATTAAATTTTCTCTGTTATACATATATTATGTTTTTCTATGTAGATATCATCCCAAATTAAAATTTGTAAGGTGAGGAGGAGTAATGGATAGCGGCTCGGATTGAGGAATCGGAGAGCCGAGTTCGAATTTCAGTCGGATCCATTACATTCACTTACGTATTCATAACCTTGGGAAAGGTATGAATCTTCTCTACCCAGCTATGGGTAAATAGCAGCACAGACCGGGTTCTATAGCACTCTGGTCTACCGCAAAAAGAAATGGCAACCTACTGCGCGGAAAAAAAAAAATTGCCTCGTCAGTCACCTATCAAAAGATAAATGATCGCCTAAGCGTGTATCACGCATGGCACATAACTGACTGAAGGTGTAGATATTTTTTCTTCGTAGATAGCCAAAATAGCACCTTTTTTACTTAATTTGTAAGGAAATTGTTCCGATCTATGCAAATGGAAAGATATTTCAGAACAGTTCAGCATGATTTTTTTTTCAAACGATTTGTTCTCTACGCCTCCATATTGAATTAAATATTTCGATGCGCCTTCTTATCTATGTCAAACACTGCTTTGTTTCTTTTGTTTCTCTACCAAGAGAGCTACATTTCTCTACCTACTCGATTCCGATTTCTATATTTTAAAGTTTACACCTGTCACCGTATAGTTACTGGTTAGTTCTTTATTCTCGTTTTTATTTGCTTCCTTCTCTATCCGTGAAGTTTTCCTTGAGTCCACCATCAAGTTTCATTCGAGTATCAAGTTCAGCCAAGTATGTGAAATGACATACACTATTAAACATGTATTAACCGAATAATACTGTGATATAAAAGTGTATGACCTCTTCGAGAAATCTGTTGTAAGTAAAAATATAAACCAAATAAGAATGTCAATAAAATCAATTTCTCTACAAACTGTATATCTTAAAAGAATACATCAATGAAACAAAGTTCTCTACAAACACTTTTTACAAAAATACGTCAATGAAGCCTGATCTCCTACAAACTGAGTTCTTACATATTGTATTCGTACGAATCAATTCTAAAAATCTTGTTGGCATTAAATAACCCACTGAAGTGTTGATATGCCGTAAAACAAAATAAACCCAAATTAACGTTTCTTGCACTGATCTCAGTAGGTTTTTCCCACATTGTCATATGTATTTTTGTATTCCTTCACTCATGGTGTAGTCTACCGTCTCATTTCTTTCTTTATGGTCGCGGCACTTAATGTTTGTTTGTTTTTTTTTGGGGGGTGGAGGGAGAGGTGGGGTTCAGTCTTTACTTAATGTTCTCTGTGTAGTCATCTTCATTCTTTGTTGGCGATATGGTTTTCAATGTCTCTGGAGGATTGTTGTTTTTTTTCCCATACTTTTTGCTACTTGTGTTTTCAGCAGTTACATATTTCAATATAAAAATACTTGTTTTTTTCTCTATTTCGAGCGACATTCTTAATTCTTTTTTTTTGTTTGTTTGTTTTGATGCACGCTCTTATCTATTTTTCCTACTCGATTTTAGCTATTTTGACACAGTTTTCAATCCTAAAACGTCTTCTGTCGTCGCCTTTCCTATCCAGATATATTCTCTTTATCGTCTTTGGGGTGTAGAACTTCGTGTATGCTTATAAACTTCCGAGTCGATTTATTGATTTAAGTTTCTCTTTTGTCCAACTAAAGAATTCTCCTGTCTACCTCACAGGCGATATTGTCCAGGTGTTTACTCTTAAGTTTCTACAACTTCGTTTAGCTTTTAGTATTTTCCTTAGTCTCCTGAGTTATCCACTTCCTATTATTCTTTCATTTCCTCCTGTTTTCGAGGCATATTCAAGAACCGTCTCGTATTTCTAGCTGTCTTTTGTTGTTAGATTGCCATGTTATCCGGCATATCAATTCCGTCTCTGGTCACGAGAGTTTATCTTTCTGAGAAGCTATTATAGCGCATGTCTCTATTGAAAATTCTATTCCAATGTCGATCACCATTTCGAATTATTTCTTCTTCTTCTTCGCAAACATTGGACTGAAACAAACTCTGAATTCTAAACCGTGAAGAAGGCAACAGGAAACTACTCCACTGTTTCCCCAAGAATAAATATCAATTCAAAGATTAAAATACTGAATCTGCTTAATTAGGATTGGGTGCAACTTTGGTTTTTTATTTACGTGACATTATTTAGCCCAGTTAATTTCCTGTTCGTCCGTCTAATAATTAAATTTTTCAGAATTATTTCTTTTTATATTGTGTTTTTTAATCATGTATTTTTTTTACTATAAACATTATTTTATTGAGTACACATGTTTTAGATTTCCGCGTCCATGTACAAACAGTGAAATTAACGTCTACCAGGCTAGTTCATCGAAAATCTTTTAAACATAAAATTGAACTATAATTTCTTTAATCTGTTTCGACGATCTTATCCGCTGGATGTTAATTCATTAATAAACGTTAATGCCTTTTCAATACAAGTACGACTAAATAACTTTTATAATTAATGTATTATCGGATTTAATAAATTCATTACTTAAAGGATATATCAGGTTTGGTTGGCAATACTTCAGTAATGTTCGGCCAAAAGTGTCTTAAAAATACAGTGTGACCCGGATGTAAGAGACCCGGATATAAGAGAAACCCGGATATAAGAGAGATTTTCTCTGGTCCTAAATTAGAGCCCATACTTACCTAATCAAAATAGACCAAACCCGGATATAAGAGAAACCCGGATATAAGAGACTTCTTCTCCGGTCCCGAAAAACTCTCTTATATCCGGGTTACACTGTATATTTACCAATGAAAATTGATTGTTAAGATTTAACTTAAATCAACGTTTTATTATTAGTCGCACAGATCGGATATTATAGAATTAAAGATACCAGATGAAAATTTGCTTAAAATGTTTCCGGCAACGAAATTTTAATCTATCGTAGTATAAAAACACTTCACATTTAACTACTCGCCTGTTTAACGACTTCCCGATTTTACGACAGGCTATAAAATCTCATAAGATAAAAATGGAAAAAAATCCAACCAGTCGGTGTTGTATATTGTACAAAAAAAGTTTAATTTTGATAGCTTTGTTTCCTCAAAATAAATAAAATGAAAAATAAGCAAAGATTTACATCTATTGCATTTACAATGATGTGAACCTCCATTTTCCACCCTTGCAACGCTAACTCTCACAGGTGGGATGTGGCAGATCTCTCTCTGATCTATTGCCGTTTCCATGGAAAGTGCTCGGACGAACTGAATGCCTTTGTTCCGGCAGTTGTAAACTTCACGGCCAGGATCCGCCATGCCACCCACATTGTAGCTAGCCACCCTCATTCTCTCTGAATTCCTTCGGCGATATTTTCACGAACCACTGCCCTGTGGAACCGATTCCCAAGAGGATGTTTCCCCGATCTCTACAATCTTAACCCGTTCTAGTCTAGGGTTAACCGTTTTCGTTCCCTCCTCTCCGCATAACTTGCCTCTAACTGTAACCTTATACCCTGAGTGCCCCCGACGGGCCTTATACAGCGTAAACCTCACTGAAAAAAAAAAGTAATGTTCAGAATATAGAGCCGATTTTTGAGTTCATTGAGGATATTATGTTCACTAACATAATGTCCTCTATAAACATTTAGACGTAAATGTTACAAAAGGTACAAAAGTGACATTAAAGCTATCTAATGCCCGAAAGTGTTGGATGGTATAATTTCTTACTTAACGACCAGTCCTTGCAATCGTCGCTAAGTGAGTATTGGCTGTATTCATTATCATAATTATGCAAGTATTATCAGCATAAAGTTTTATTCACCGGTTCTCGTAGGATCACCGAAGTTAAGCAAGACTCAGCCTGGCCAGTACCTAGATGAGTGACCATTTGGGAATAAAAGATGCTGTAACCTTGTGTCTTCAGTTGTGCAATGGATAACGGCCCAGAATTGGAACTAGGAGCTGAGTTCCAATTCCAGTCGGGTTCGTTGTTTTCACTCGCGCGCAAATTAAGAATCTACTTCTCTCCCTATCTATGGGTTAATTAGTAGGACTTGTAGGAGTAAAAATCATTATCTTTCCCCAAATTCTTGCAGTCTGAAAACATTTTATGGTTTTAAATAACTCGCAAAATATAATTCGTAAAATAGAAAGTTTTATTTTGATTTTAATGGCGCCTTATTGTATCTTCTACAAATGTGCAATATTTTTTAATCTATATTGCAGCCGCTATCGTTACTGGAAAAATCATTTGAAGACACGTTGACCTCTAAAAAGGTTTGATAGCATAAGGTAGTCGGAGTTCACTTGAAATTCTACCAATAAGTGTAGGCGCACTATATACGAATTTTGGAAAAATATGTTATAATGAAGTCAAATACTGCAAAAAGGAAAAATGCAATAAAAAAAAAAAAAAATGAAACATACCTTAATTTTATTCATTCTTGTGTCTTCAATGTTTGGGTGTATATTTGATTTGCTCGTCAATACATTGAAGAGTTACTCGCTTTTTTCATTTAATTGTGGGGAGAGCAGAAAAGCCTTTCACATAAATATGAACGAGACGGGTACCATCATATAATAAAACGGGTACCATAATATATTTATTTCTTATATCTGGACATATATTTCTCTGGAATTCCAGAGCGCTCCAAGACATCTTCCAGGTAACACCAGTGTGCCCAGGCGCACCATTATCAGAATCACTGGTATAAAGGGTAAGAGTTCAAGTACTGTTGAAGGATATTTTTTACACTGGTCTTAAAATCGTTGTAGAATGTCAAATTGAAGTTGCGATGAAAAGTAACATACATTAAACGAAAGTAATACCGTATATACTAGTTTTAAAATAGGGGGTCTCACTATACACGGGTAATTTTTTTTGAAGAGGTTAAAAATCATGCATTTTTGGTGACAGGTAAAGATTTTTCTGGAGTAGTTAAACTTCCTTCCCAAAATATCAGGGGTCGCACTATATAAGAAGTCGACTTATACACGAGTATATACGGTACTCGTGAAAATTACTAATTATATTGTCACTCGTTATGTCAATTTACTCAGCAAAGCTTCGTTATGGTACGAGACTGAAATAAAGAGCATGTAGTGAGGATTGAACTCACTACTCAGTCATAATTGATCTAGCAAGACAAACTTGGTAACTATTACACTCCCTCGAAATACCCCATTGACTCTCGTTGTGTGTTGTTAAACAGACAAATGAAAAATAACATCTAGGCATTAAAATTTCACTAAGTTATTCCGATGCTTGTAAAATCTAATCTATCATCGATAGGATAAACGTTATTCTTTTTCACACGCGTTTTTTTTTTTTTTTTTTTTCACTACCCGAGGAAAATACCTTTGGAGTTGTCCCATTTGACTTAACAGCACAAACGAAGAAGAAAAAAAAATGTTCGACTCTTTCGAAATGCATTCTTTATTTTTTTCCTTCCTTATTTAATGATTTTTATGCTCAGTTTTGTGAAAATTAGGCAGACCGTGACAACAGCAAAAATACTTTGAATCATTTATAGAATTAGACGCATTTTTATTTTAATAACATGCTTTTCTTCATTTCCTTTGTTGGATCGATATATTTTAGTCAGTGAATGCTATAATCTCAATGAGATAAAGTTTCCTATTGTCATTCATATGAATGCAGTCTTCAATTTATCGATCTGTCTGCCTGGGAATATACCACAGTAACTTCGGTTTGAACTTATTATTATTCCAATATTCTCCAGGGGTTAACATAAAACAGCAATATAAAAGCCCGTACCAGAAATTAGGTTATATCAACCTATACTTCAAACTAGTTTCTTTACGGACAGTTGCAGTTGCTAGATATTTATTTGGATGTTTATTATTGTTAATTTTTATTCCCATCACTGCAACAGGATAAAATCTAAAATAATTATAGGATTCTATTTAAGAGCACTAAGAATCTGCAGCCCCCAATACTTACCAGAAGAAGAAACATACATAGAAAACACTTTCAAAACGTCCGGTATTCTCACCATTTCATCCACAATGCTAAGAGGAAAGCATCCAAAATGTACAACCACAAAAAAGATAACATTATTAAAATCGATGAAAATTAAATGAGATAAAAACTAACATAATATTAAATTCCCTAATTTCTAATATCCAAAACAATTCATCCAATTTTAGCAATAACAAAATAATTGCAACCTCAGTTAAAACGATCATGGATATGATCAGAACTAAAATATCCATTACAATAATTATATAATATATATATATATATATATATATATATATATATATATATATATATACTTTCTTCTCTGGTAAATATAATATTTAAAACTTTAAATATATATAGATGTTATAACATCACTACAAAAATAGCCATTTTGTTTCAACATTTCTGGTGTCTTATCTATATTGAGTGTAGAAAAAAAGTTTTAGAAGGTTCAAATTAACCAAACATCCCTCAATAGTGGAAAAGGCTGTTACATAAGCTACAATGACCAATCAAAATGCAGGTATATGAAAATTCAAAAAACTTAACAACGGAACTTTTAAGACTCTTTATTCTACATTCAACACCATCACTTGATAAGACACCAGAAGTGTTAAAACAAAATGTCTATTTTGTAGTGATGCTACAACATGTTAGAATTTTTGAATAAGCAATTGTGTGGATGTATTATGAAATGGACTAAGACCGACAATTATTTTAATATATTTCTTGTTTATACGTTCTTTTGATAGATACAATTATGTAAGTAAATGCTCCGTTTATAATAAACAGTATTAATTACATTTACCAGCCAGAATGTCTGAGAAATTACATAGAAAATATGTGTCCTCCGTGAAAGATCGTGGGAAATTTCTTGTTTTAAAAACAGTAATTTTGACTTTGCTAACCAGACGCTTTTTCTGTAGCTGAATGGTATAACACGTCAGATCCAATGATCCGTGTAGGACACAGGTCCGATTCAGGCCGGTAAATTTTTATTAATACTGTTTATTATAAACGGAGCATTTATTTATAAAAAATATAATAAAATAACGTATAAACATAAACATATATATATATATATATATATATATATATATATATATATATATATAAAGAAAGAACAGTAAGATATATAATCCGCTGTTCTTATAGATATTTTTTTTTTACAAAATAGTGCTCGATGTAAATTTACAGAGCATTAATATTATAAATTAATTGATTTAAAATATGTTTTTTCTGCTACACAGTTCTAACCATGTTTCAAAAATTACAAAATTAAATTCGGGGCTTTTAGCTTCCATTTTTGAAACATGGTTAGAACTGTGTAGGAAAAAAAAACATATTTTAAATCAATTAATTTATATATATATATATATATATATATATATATATATATATATATATATATATATGAGAGAGATAAATTGTTACAACTGCGCTTCACATTAAAGGGAAGCTTGAAATAAAAATCGTATCAATGAACACATAAAGGATTTTGTAGACAACAATTTTTCAAATAATTTCGTTAAACATAAAAATAAATTCAAACTCAACTTTGATCTAAGGAATGTTAATTATTGAAAGAAAATTCCCGAAAATGCCGCTATCATAACTTATCAAAATGTAAAACTTCGACTCGGATCTTTTCAAATATCTCCATTTCTGAAAGAATTACTGTCCCAAGCCAACATACATGACTATAAAAAAATTCTTTTTTAAGCATTTCACCTCAAGCAAGGCGGGAAGCCACTAGCAAGGGGTTACAAAGAGTTCGAGCGAGAGCAGATAGGAGTGATAGAGGAAAGGATGAGGAGAAGGATAATGGATAGATCAAGACAACTGGAGATGTCGATTGACATTACATTTGAATAGTTGGAGATTATAGCTGTCAGGGAAACAGGAAAAGAGAAGGGAGTTCCACAGGTGAGAGGTGCGAGATATGAAGCTATTGGAATAGAAGAGCTGGCGACAGTTAACAGTTTCAACAGTGAAAGAGTGAGAGCGGGAAGCCCGTCTTGTAGAACACTTGAACTCATGAAGTCTGGGAACCAGCGAAAGCAGCTCATCGGAGCAATTACCATGAAGGTATTTGTAAAAAAGACAGAGAGAGGCGACGGCACGTCTGTGAGAGAGCGACTGCAGACGAGATGCCAGATCAGGGCCAATTACATTGCGTATCCCTCTCAAAAAAAATTTCCTGGCGTTGCACAGGGAGCCAACTTCCTTGCGGTGGACGAAGCAATTGACTCAATGTATTTGTTCCATCTCAGGTCAGCCATCAACGTGAGACCGAACCTTCTGTTATTATATATATATATATATATATATATATATATATATATATATGTAAAATACATGAATTTATCCCACACTAAAATAATTTAAATATTAATTGCATAAACTTTCGTTTATTAGACAATACGCCACTTAGCATTCATGAGTATCTCTAAAATTTAAACATTTTGAAAAACGACCATTTTACATTTGTTTATAAATATTTGATGCAAAATATAATCCTTACATTTGTCTTAAAGTGCGTCACATGACTAAACACGTCGGTTAAGTTACGTTTTCCTTTTTTTTTTATTCATATATATCTATACACGTATCTTTTTTTGAAGACTATGGTGCAAAAATTGTATGATGCGGCAGACTGACAGACACAGTTCATTTGGTAATTTTCGTGTCCACACTATGCATACATATGTATCTATGTATATTGTGGACCGAGAAATCACTACTGAACTGTCACACTCCGTCTTCCGTATCATGCGAATCATTGCCATGTGCAATTCAGAGAAAATCTCTCCAGGCGTGGAACTTCGTGCACACTTGATGCCGATGCCCACACTGTCTATATTTAAGAATTCTCCAAGACTTGAGCATTCTGCCTCGATAAATATACAACCCTCTTTAAAAAAT